GCACACAAAAAAATATTATTACTGTGATACGTTTCAGAAAAGTTTGCAATACTGGTTTTGCAATACTGGTTTGCCGACATTCATTAAAACATTCTCGACAAAACGCTCAACAATATTGATGCCGAATCGCGGAAAAGGATATGAAATCGCGCCTCTTGTGGAATCGTCTCGGAGATTCCATATTCTGTGTTTCTAGAATGCTTCACTTTATCACAATTTGTTTCTTTTTTAAAAAAATTGCTTGAGAGTAGAAAAATATTTTTGCGAAATTTCTTCCTTTCTTTCTACATTATAATTTTATCACAATATATATATTTTATATCTATTATTATACATGTATTAAAAATAACGTTATTATTAATTAGCAAGAAAATCAATTACCATGATTTCATATAGACGTATAAGATGTGGGAAATAAGTAATATCAATCACAAACTAATTTAAATTATTTAAATTAAGACGTATAAATTACATAATCGCAATTAATATCCTTTTCCCCGTTACGAAAACAGTGTTCTCTCCAATGTATTCCAGTAATCGTAAATCGAAGTATGGACAGCCTAAGCCGACGCAATTTCGGTGGATGTGCACAAACGACGCACGTGCGTCCGCCCCGTGAGCGCATTCACATGCAAATGATACACGCGGGGGTGGTAGAGACGGTAGTTTCGCGGCGACCGACATCGGGAGATCGTGATCAACATTCCTCTTACCTGTTACGCGCCGAGGGTAAACCTACCCCGGGGTTTCTCCGTTGCGCGCGGTGTCGGCTGTGGCAGGTATCGGCGAAACGTCGAATCCCGCTCGGCTCGTATCGGTCACGTGCACCACCATAGTGCCGTTTTCGTTTGGCAAACCTGCAACAATATCGCGCAACACAAACATCGATCCCAGGTTCATTGTGTTGAGCGTTTCCAAGCGCGCGCAACACAATCGCGCGGAACCGCGCGTGCCGGCGAGAGCACGCGCGTCTGTTATCGTCTGTTATCCTTCTCGTCGCCGCCGTACGGCCGTGTCTTGACGTATCTTTGGCCTCCTTTCCCCGGTTTTACGCGACGCGATAACGGCCGCGAGGAACAATGGCGGCCAACTCGGGTTCGCTCGCCGTTCACGTAACTCGCACGTCGGTTCGATAGCGAGATCACGATCGGTAACTATCTCATTTCGATTACCCTTATCGCGATATATATCTCGAATTTCTTCGCCGCCTCCCCCCCCCTCTCCCCCGCCTCCCCGAGTCCTAGATTGGCCAGGGAATAAAGATAGTCTCTTTATGTGTATTTCCGAGCACTCAAACGGCGCGGTCGTTTGCGCATAATGTTGGCTTTATACACAGACTCCGTTTAGATTATGAGTTAACTTTCAAAGTACTTTAAAGTAATGCGACTACTTCGACGCTTTTTGCTGCGTTTACATAGTTTTACGAAATTTCAACAAGTTAAAGATAAATTCAGCAATTAAGGTCCCTCGAGAGAGCGAGGCGTCCTCTTTCTTATAAAATATTTAATCGGGCGATCCTTCCTTTATTGACGACATGCATAGAATACAAACAAAAACCAAATCTTTATCTGATTTTAATTCAATCGCTTTAAATTTTTACTCATTCACAAATAAATGTGATGTGTTTCTATATAGTTATTACGTCGATAAAGAATTAATAAATTTAATTCTTTCTACTTCGTGATATTATCAATAATTTGCAAGTTAACAAAAGATAAAATAACGTCTCCGCCATGTCTTTATTTACAAAATATATATAATAAATCAATAAACCATAGAATAAATCTTAATTTATAAAATCTTCATTCAATTATTTTCAATTTTCTTTAACTAAAATGGACACACGATGGATTACTATTAAATATTACTACATACGTGGAGAGCTAATAAATTTGATTATAAATAGAGAGCTAATAAATTGAAAATTCTTTATTTCATGATATACTATTGCAAAAGACAAAAATAACCATCGTTCTCTTGTCCATAAAATATAAAATATAATAATAATATAATATAATAATAATATAATAAAATCGTAACGATAAATCGCACAATAATAAATCGCAGGAAAGAAAAAATTTATTACAGATTTTTGTGTCATCTCTCT